TTTTTTTTTAGTGGGGTGGTGGGAACCTATTATTTGAGTTCATATAGTTAACACCTGGGAAGACTTTCAAGATAATTAAGAAATAAGGACAGTTAATTAAATATAGTGTATAATAATCTAATTTATCCTAAGTTACAAACCTCCTAAAGAAATCTATTGTATCATTAAGTATACCCGTGATTCTACCCTACAGTATTTTTTCCAAAAGGGCTGAAGTTGGGTGACATTACACATCATCACCACTAGGTGGGATCTCAACTAGTGTGAGAATCACAAAGACCAACCACAGTAATGCAGTGCTAACTGGGAAGACAAATACTTCTCTCACTGGGCTTTGGAGGATCAAATTGTTTCCCTGGTGATGCCAAAAATTTATGTTTGGAGAGGACACCAAAAAGAAAGGGAAGACAAACAAGTGTTGCAGAACAAAATTAGAATCTAAGAGCATTCTCACCCAATAGGAGAGTGAAGAAGTAAGCTCAATGAAAGAATAGTATAACTAGGGAGGAAAAACAAGCCCTACAGATCAAATACAAAGGGCAACTAAGATGTTGAAGCAAAAATAGCCTATTGGCCTATTGGTGTGACAAAACAACTATCCCTTTTACAATAAATTATTTAAAGATGCTTAATAGCAAACAGTCTTCAGATCTCCCATCATGAGGATGAATGGTGACTGATAAAAGATTCAAGGCAAATTCAGTAAAATGTAAAGGAATGAAGAGAGTACCTATGAAGAACGGGTAAAATAATGGAAATTACGTTTAATCTAGAGAAGGGTTTCTGACTCAAACAATAGAGTACTGTGCAAAGATAAAAAAAAAAAAACAAAAACACACAACTGAAGTTTCATAAAGGATTTAGGAATACAGGAATCCCTCCGTCCAAAAGCAAGGTCCTTCCCTGAAACAGAAAGCTTCTGGAGAGAAGCCAGCATTTATGTTTTCAAATCTAAGTATCAAATTGAGCCCCTGGGTGGAGAAGGTGGCCAGTAAATCCTCAGAGGCCTCTCCGGGTCTGTCATCCAGGCTGACTGTATGCCAGGAGGGTACCACACACAACCAAGCTCTACAAAGGGACTCTACCCAGGCAAGGCCTGGGGGGCTCACGTCACTTTCTTCTTTAAGAGATAAAAGATGCTGAACTATATTATGACTTGCCAGGATATTTCAAAGTCACAGAAATTAAGAAGGAAGAAACAAACTCAGAAAACAGACATGCTACGGAGCAAGGCAACAACCGAAGAATAAAGAGGAAACACTAACGTTGATTTCAAACCTTTTGCTTCTGTTTATATGATTAATGTTTCTAATGCAAAAATCTTAATCTTCTTTACTGATAATCTTTTAAACAGCACAACTTGTTCTGCAACTAAAAGGAAGCTCATGCAAAATTCAATAGCTCTGCCTGGTTTAGACTGGAGCTAGCAGGATATTCAAATCCTGAGAGGTCAGCTCAACCTACACAGTGCAGAATATTAGCTCAGCTTCTGAGTGCACCACTGCCAATTTCTTTTGATTTCTGTTTTATTTCATTTCCTTTGATGACGGAGCCCACACCTAACAAACACAGTGAATCTTATTAACACTAAAAATGTTCCTCCGCCTCTCCTTCATCCTCACTCACTTCTCTCCCTCTTGGACCTGCCCTGTCTTCCACTAACAGGTTGGAAACCAGGGGCGAGAGCAGGATTTCCCTTGAACTAGCAGTACCTTTCAGGTGTCCTCACACAGCCTTTTCCCATGCACAAACAACGCTTTGTGGTGATTCAAACCAGGTCATTATTAACTCATCCACTAAGTGTGACATACCTTTTAGAAGGATCTTTCTGAAGACACAGGGAAAGTAATTTCCTAAAGGACTTGCCGTACTTTTTCATCATTTCCTTATCCTCTACTCCTGTTTCTAAAGTGGGTGGATCATTCTGCAAAGTCAACATTAACACCTGCAGCAGAAACAAACACCAAGACAGAATCTCAGTACAGCAATGGCTACAGTCGAGTCTTTAATCTCTCACAAAGACCATCCTTGATTTAGGTACAAACATGCTTTTCCCATGATTTTAACCTTCCAGAAAGTGTGTGCTAAAAGTATTCATTTCCCTTTGCAAATCTGCTCAATGTGCCCTTTCACCTTTCTGTTATTCCATTGACAGAGCTTACAAAATCTGTTCTGTGTGTTAAGAATGATCTCCCAAAGCGGCCAGGACAGAACTTCTGGGAACTGGCTCTCACACAGCCTGGAGGAGCACGTAGCTCCAGCACAGGGTTAGCGAGGGCCGGGGCTCTGGCTGGGAACGTGCGTGGGGGCGGGGGCCAGAGCAGCAGTTCATGTGCACAGGTCATTCATGAGTAAGGAACCGCCCCTACTCAAGGCTTCTATTAACACACTGCCAACCCTAAAAATAAATCCACACCATCCCAGAAGGTAACACATGATTTCCTTTTCTCTTTTCTTACTGAGAAAACCTACAGAATATTGCTTAAAGGCTTGGCCAAATTGAGACAGTAAGACACTGAAAGACAGCCAGAATACGAGTTACTAAAAACCATAACCAGAGAGCAAAAGGCCACGCTGCTTTTGGAGGGGGACAAAACCAAATCAAAATACAGCTTCAAATAAAAAAGGTAAAAATTCCATTCGTTCACACTAACATCAAAATTACTTGCTTTAAAAAAGAATACAATTTGTAGTAAACTATTGACCTATAAAAGGAATAAACCTCATTAATGCATAAATTAGCCTTAATTTATGCAAATGTTATACATGCCAAGACTCCTCTCAAACACTTTCAGATGTGTGAATACATGAAGGATTACAGTGACAGTTTATTGTTTGTGGAGGAAAACAGCAAACAGAAGAAAGTGGGAGAGTTCCAAAGTCCTAGCAGAGTCCCGCAGGACAGGATAGCAGGCTGGGATCAGCAATATGATTTTGGAGCTGGGTGGGAAACATGAAGGAGTGGGGGAAGAAAGAAAACAAGAAATACGAAAAAATAATACAGAAAAACCAGATGGAAGAGCTGCTTTAGCACTCTTTCTCTGAAAGTTCATTTCAATTGTTTCCGTCTCAACTTTACATTTTCTGCTAACAAAAGCAAGTATGTATGCACACACACACCCTAATCTTAACTATGTTAAAAATACGTATATAGACTGGGGCGCCTGGGTGGCTCAGTCGGTTAAGCGTCCAACTTCGGCTCAGGTCAGGATCTCATGGTTCACAAGTTCCAGCCTCGCATCTGGCTCTGTGCCGACAGCTCAGCCTGGAGCCTGCTTCGAATTCTGTGTCCCCCTCTCTCTCTGCCCCTACTACCCCGCTCATGCTTGGTCTCTCTCTCTCTCCCTCTCAAAAATAAATAAAAACATTAAAATTGTTTTTTTTTAAATATGTATATAGAGAAAAGAGTAATGTAACTACACTAAAACCTTAACAGGGATTGTCTGTGGCTAATGAGATTATGAATGATTATTCTCTTTATTCTTGTTTGGACTGCCAAATTTTTTTCCAGTAAGAATGTATTAACTTTTTAATCAGTAAAATTATTTAAACTTTTTTTATCCTCATTTTTTTTAAACCTAAATTTTTCCAGTATTTGCCTAGGAAAAAATTGAAACAAATACAGATGGTACTTTCTGTAAAATACTTTAATAATTTCCACTCAACTATTTCAGCCCCCAAATAAAATCTAATCGGGTAAATCAGCCCTGATTTACCATCTCAGAACTGAGTGAAATAATGATGTAGGCCAGTTAAAAGAATAACAAAAGTCTGAAAACAGTATCCAGATGTAGGTTATTGTCTAATAACACTGGGCTCACTTATTTCAGATGAATCACCAACATGACAGTATGAGCACATGGGTGAAATGTTACAGATCATTCCAAAAAAATTGGGGAAATCTATCCACAAAGATGGTATCACTATAATCTATTTTCGGATTTTCCTTGGGGGTCTAGGGTATTCTGCTATTAGAGGAGTAATGACCAGCATGTGTCACAGTTCTCAACCTCCACCCACCAATCTGATCACACTCTTCAGACAGCTCTGTGCTAAGAATGTAAAAGCAAGCTTCAAAGCTGGGAATTGTACCACTTTTGTCCTATTTTGTCCACTGAGAACATCAGACAACACTTAACTTGGCTGCATTCCTCCATTAATTCTCCTCAGGTCTAAGAGAAAAATGATTATGTTTAAAAGAATTACAGAACCTATTCCATTAAATCCTATTTCAAGCCCAACATATTATTTCCAATAGTAATTACTTTCATAGGAGGGTACTTGTGATAAGGCGCTGCTCCTGTAGCCAATTCAATGGCAGTTATTCCAAAACTCCACATGTCAGCCTTGAAGTCATAGCCTCTCACCTAAGAAAAGAACCAGGAAAAAACACAATCATACAACTGGAAGGTCACACATCATGAGGTCCACAGTATGTCAGGAGTCTGCAGCATATATGCACAACTTCGATAATATCACTTTGCTAAGGCCCAGCAATCAGGAATTAAATCTGAGTTACATGATGCATTCTAGTAACATCATTGATTTGAATGAAATTTTAGTGTATTTAATGATACAAAACATCACTTTTATATATATATATATATATATATATATATATTTTTTTTTTCTTACCTGTTCCATGACTTCAGGGGCCATCCAACACGGAGTGCCAACAAATGTTTTTCTTACTTTATTCCGGGTAACATCACCCCCTGTTGCTAAGAATGCACTTACCCCAAAATCTGTAAGAAAAAAAAAATCACCCTTATTTTATATAAGACATTATTGCTTACAAATTCTGGTTTTATAAACATCTCTTTTCCTGGTGAGCTTTCCAGTGATGATGACTTAATTGTTCCAAACACCATGAGCTCTCTCAGGGACCACCAACGCATCCTGCCATCCTACAGTTTAAACAACATCATCATGGGTCAGCAAGCCCACCAGTCCACAAGCTTAGCATACCAAATTGTATTTTCTGTCAAAAAGGTATCAAAAGTCATAACTAATCATAAAGGATTACAGCAATAAAAATAATAACACATTCTTAATGGCCTAAATACAAAGGATCTCAGTTTTTAGCTGAAATCATATATAAGAATAGCACTGGAAGCAGTAAAAATAGTATGTAAGGTAGTTTCCTTTTTTTTATTTTAATGTTTATTTATTTTTGAGAGAGAGAAACAGTGTGAGCAGGGGAAGGTACAGAGAGAGGGAGACACAGAATCTGAAGCAGGCTCCAGGCTCTGAGCTGTGAGCACAGAGCCCGATGCAGGGCTTGAACTCAGGAACCATGAGATCATGACCTGAGCTGAAGTCAGACACTTAACTGACTGAGCCACCCAGGTGCCCCTGTGATGTAGTTTCTTCTTTTGTCTTTCTTTTACAATGATTACTTTCTAGCCTCTAATTCCACATCATCAATGTCTGGGGAGTGGCTTTTTTTTTTTTTTTTTTTTTTTTTTTTTTTTCTTAAGGTGGCTTGGGGGATGGGTGAAATAGGATTACGAGTTCACTTGTGGTGATGAGCAGAGTGGTGTCTAGAACTGCTGAATCACTAAGTTGTCCACCTGAAACTAACGTAACACTGTATGTTAATTATAGCTCAATTAAAAATTAAAATAAAGGATAAATAACATCATCTCCCACATTCTCATCACCTTGCTTAAAAGTGCTAACACCTTAGGCAAAATCGTAACAGCAAATCCACAAACCCAGGTACATAAAGCCAACATGCCCAGGTTTGTACATATGTAGCAATCAACACAAAGGAAAAGCTCGGTCAGCAAAGATTGTTTTTTTCTTTTTTCCTATGTTTGGTTTCTGGATAATTTTCATAGGTATAGATACAATGGTTTGTAGAATGAAAAAACACTTTTCTTAACATCCTTTACATACTAAAAATTCTTTTTGTGAGCAGATAAATTAGGCATACTGTATGGAAATACACACATGCATTTATGCAAAAAATGTTTGTATGTGACAAAAGAGAAAGGAAGACCTGGTGATCATTAATGCATGCATTTCTGCTTAGATTTTTATTAAAAGTTAAAACTAGTTAATAAGTTCAAGTACCAACTACTCAGGGCTAGTACAGACCTACCAGTTAGAGCCAACTAAAGAACAGCACAATAGTAAGCTGGTAAATAGTAATTTAAAAAGGTGATCAACACCTCAAAATGCCACAGCAGACTGTGTAGTTTGAGCCCCTGCCAATTCCTCTCGTTTAATTCTCCTTTGCTGATCCCCTTTCATGACTACCAGGATGACAGCCATTTACCCAAGAGCAAAGTCCAGCAGAAACCAAGGTGAAAATGTATTAGCATTTGCTTTAGGTCTTCAATATGAAGTTAGGGCAATAACACTATAACCAGTTCCCTGAGTTGAAATCTGTTGACTGTTTTACTTTACTTACATTTAAATTTACTCAACTCCCTAAAGGATTTCAATTACAAGTAAAAGGAATAAAAATTGACAAATGTGAGTCTTTGTTCCCACTGCTACGCTCATGTTAATACTGAGCAATATTTTGAAAAGGCTAGATAATTTAATTTGCACATATGTGCCAAACTAAAACTATTTGAATTCTTATATTTTGGTCAGAAAAATGAAGCCTTGTGAAAACAAATCTCTAGAACTAGTAAGCCAGTCTCCTGTAGGTGGGAGGAAATACAATTCATGTTCTTACAGAAAAGCTAGGTGAATAAAACCATTTGTAAACATCTACTATATTCAGCTAGAGGAAAAGATAATATGATGAGCTTTGAAAAATATTAATTTCAAGTTAATTTATACTTCTGCAAAGTTCAACAATGAATCCAACATCCATTTCTTTTTAGTTTTTTTTAATGTTTAGTTTTGAGAGAGAGAGAGCAAGAGCACATGCACATGAGCAGGGGAGGGGCAGTGAGAGAGAGGGAGACACAGAATCTGAAGCAGGCTCCAGGCCCTGAGCTGTCAGCACAGAGCCCAACATGGGGCTTAAACTCATGAGCTGTGAGATCATGACCTGAGCCAAAGTCAGATACTTAAACTCCTAAGCCACCCAGGTGCCCCTCCAACATTCCACTTCTATTAAAATAATTCTGTGGGGTGCCTGGATGGCTCAGTCGGTTAAGTGTCTGACTTTGGCTCAGGTCATGATCTCACAGTTCGTGAATTCGAGACCACCATCAGCTCTCTGCTGTCAGCACAGAGCCCACTTCGGATCCTCTGACCCCGTCTCTCTCTCTGCCCCTCCCCACTTGCACTCTCTCAAAAATAAATAAATATTTTTTAAAAATTAAAATCAAAATAAAATAATTTTGTGGGGCACCTGGGTGGTGGCTAATTCAGTTAAGCATCCAACTTTGGCTCAGGTCATGATCTCACAGTTCACAAGTTCAAGACCTGTATCAAGCTCTGTACTGACAGCTCAGAGTTGGCTTCAGATCCTCTGTCCCCTCTCTCTGCCCCTCCCGGCTCAGTTCACATGCTCTGTCTCAAAAATAAATAAACATTAAAAAAAATAATAAATTTGTAACAATGTAATACTAAGTACATATCATCTGTACTCTAAGGAAAAATATATTTTTTAATGCAGTTGCAGCAACCCTACACCCCAATCTCTCCTAGAAGATATAATCCATATAAAAATCCATAGTTAACATTAAATTTTTTTAATTCCTTAAAAATTCCATATGATTACATTAGACCTTTTTAAAGCTACAAAAACAGCTGAAAAAGATGCATAAGAGCAATTTATTACTGACAATACCCCTTCAATGTATCCTTCATGATTCACGTATTTATTCATAGGCTCCACTTAGAACACTCACTTTAAAGTCATAAACAGATGGTTAAATGTCTTTAATGCTCAGAACAAAAAATTCCAGAAGGAGAAAACGCCAATCCTAACATCTACTCACCCTTACGACTACAGAATAAATACACGATGTGCTCCAATGTATTGCCAATGTATATACAGAAAGATTTATATGTACTGAGAAACAACATTCTGACCAGAGTACATAGTGTGCCTCTGTAAAAAGGAAAGCCGGTATATACCGACCAGACAGCGTACCTAGGACAGGGAGAACGAGGTGGTGAACCACTGCACTAAAAAGAGCCCTTGTTTTAGGAGAAGTCCGTCTATACAGCCAAGAAGAGTGCAACCAGACAGACGTGGGTCAGAAACCATAAACATCACTCCGGCGACACGGGATCACAGGCTACACACAGAGCTAGCCCGCCCATCTTCCTGCATCCAGAAATAACTGCATCCCAAACCAGAAAGGATGCTGTCATCCCAGGCACTAAGGGCTCTCTCACATCTCCTGAATCCACCCACCCCGCTCCTTCCACACTGCTGCTGGGGCGGCCTGCTGAACCCCCACCATCGTCCTGCTTCCCAGGAGACTGGCACACAGGCCGTTCTCTCCCTGACTTCTCCCTTGAAAGGCCCTCTGCTCCCTAGGAAAAAGTCAGAATCCCTGAGCACAGCATGCACATCAGACTTCCCTTTTCCTCTCCCGCCTCAGCTGCCCCTTCTCCCAAATGCAGCCCTGAGGCTGGGCGCTGCTGAACCACTTACTGTTTATTCCCCGAATCCATCACCAGCCTTGCCCTCCACGACGCTGCCTATGCGCCCAGGTACACTGTTCCTCCACTAAGTGCAGGGCCACCGGCAGGGGGCGTCCTGCTCATCCTTATTAATAATGGAAGCCTCTTTGGCATCCTGACTCCCTGTGCCTCGGGGCTCTTTCACAGCCCCTCGTGTTGGGGTGTGGTTAGTCTGATGCCCACCCAACACCTTTGCCTGATGTGTGGTGTACGATTAAGTAACTTTGGTAACTGTCTTATTTTGGTATATGTGAATGCTTAGCCCTGCGGCGGATCCCCCAGGTTTGGGGCATAGCCACCTAATTTGGAGAGTGGGCAGATCCTCCAGGAAACAGCACGGTCCGCACTGGCAGGGGCCAGGTGTCCCGGTAGTTAGGCTGCACGCCATGCTACTCCCCCACCCTGGGAGTTTGGCACACCCTGAATCTGGGCTTCTGGGTCTTTTTCCTTACCTGGCTTCTTGGTTATGCCTGTTTTTATATTACGTTCATATTTATAATCATGAGGGAAACAAAGGCAAGAGAAATGTAGCTAAAATTAAATCTCCTTACAACTTGCAGACACCTGGGACATGCAGAGCGTGACCATCCTCAAGCAACTCAGGGCTACCTTACTTCCTTGATGTTTTTGCTTTATTAAAGACTAAAAATAACCTTATCTTAACAATAGCTAGCCCCTCAAGGTCCTGAAAGCCTGGCTTCCCAATTCCTTAGAGACTTAACGCTATCCCTAACCCCCACTAACTTAAAAGTATATTACCAGTCACTCCTCACAACCCCAGTGCAGCTCTATCTGTCCACAGGTCCTGTCCCTGTGCTTTAATAAAATCACCTTTTAGGGGTGCCTAGGTGGCTCAGTTAAGCGTCCGACTTGAGCTCAGGTCATGATCTTGCAGTCCATGAGTTCGAGCCCCGTGTCAGGGTCTGTGCTGACAGCTCAGAGTCTGGAGCCTGCTTCAGATTCTATGTTGCCCTCTCTCTTTGCCCCTCCCCTGCTTGCACTCTCTCTCTCTCTCTCAAAAATAAACATTAAAAAAAATTTTTTTTAATAAAATCACCTTTTACACCAAAGACATCTCAAGAATTCTTTCTTAGCCGTTTGCTCAAGAACCCTATCAAGAACACGCTCCTGCTTCTCCTCA